AGAAAGAGAGGCAGGCTTCTATTAATATCTCAGATAACCAGCCCACAAGCGCCCAGCAAGCAATGGCTTTTACTGGTACGTGCCCTAAAAGATGCGCCTAATGATTTCCGGCTTAAGGAGCATTCAAAACAATTGGTCTGGGAACTCATTCCTCGCCTGGACATCTCAGACAGCACAGGGCAGAAAGGTGGGATACAAATGCACTTCCCACTATGGGGGGCGGGGCACAGAGAAAAAGCCACAAGTGGACACCCGTGAGGGGCCAGGACGCAGGTCGGACATTGCCTTTCTTCTGATAGTTTGCTATTTAGGTGGAAGGCGTGGTTCCAAAGGCTTCCGCAAATTAAATTCAATTTAATGAAAAAGAGATCTCGTTCGCTGTAGGTTCTGTTAAAACCTCTGCAAGGCCATTTTGCACTATTTATCAAAATCTTAAATGCACATGTCCTTTGACCAAAACAATTCCACCTCTGGGAATTGATCTCACAGACATATGCACTCCATGTACACGTACAAAGACATAGGGAAAAGGATAGTTGTCACATTGTGTGTAGCAGTAAAAAAAACAGACGTCAATCTAACTGTCCATTGACAGAGGAATCATTTAAACAGATGGCAGGGTTTATAATATGGAAGACTCTGCAATCGGTAAAAAGAGTAAGGGAAATCCATGCAGACTGATGGGAAAGATATTCCCGAACATACAATGAAGAAAGCACCTTTGGTTTTAACTCACTTGTGTAAATATATAGTCGATTCTAGTTATTCATGATTATTATGTTAAAGTCGCTGCAGACATCGAACTGGTGAACACTGAACTGTGCACGCTCCTAGCGGAAGGTACAAGGTTAGGCTCCTGTGAGATTCTGATCACAATCAATCACTAACCACATAACCTTGTTTTGTGTTCTTCTGTGTAATATTTTGTTGCTTCATTATCTGAATAATGAACTCATAACCAACAGCATAATAACTCATGTCTGAATAAAGCTTATCAAACACACATATTTTCTCCAAAAGGTGCACACAGCTGTCTTGCACTTGGGAACACTAGACAGCAACTCAGCACTCTGGCTGAGGGCCACTTTAAACAGCAAAAGCACCAACAAGCCGAAAAACTGGAAAATATGGCAAAGGACGCTGGTTTTACCTATGAGAGTTGAAACAAGAAGGCAGAGCGTTGCCTTGTTCCATCTCAGTGGGGAACACACAGCTTGGGCCACACTGCTGCTCTGCCTATGTCCGTGAAGGACCGCAAAAGCTCTGTGAGCACTGATTTGGGGTTAAAAATAAATGCCAGCGCGTAAGCGAATTCAGAAGTGCGGAATGTTCGAATCCTGAGGATCGGCTGTATGTTTGTACATGCTCGGAACATTTCTAGAAAATATACCAGCTTGATTTTGGAAGAAGACACAAGAAATCTGCTCCCAGAAGTTATCTCTGGAGCGGGGCATGGACATCAGATGGAAAGAAAAAAACAAACAAACAAAAAAAAACGGAAAAGGGAGGAAGAGAGAGACTCGTCCAGTTTTGTTTACTGGACAGTTTCTTTGGGTGTAATCTACGATTCATTTTCCCCACCTTGTAAATGAAAATGGGTTTATTTTCCCAATTATGAGAACAAATAAGTACATCTAGGAAAGAAACACACCAGGCTGTGGGGATGGGACTACAGATTCAGGAGGGAACTAATTTTTTATACCAGGTACACTTCTGTATCGTTTGGATGTTTTACAATCAAAATGTATCTCATACTTCTTGTATCCTAAGAATAAGGTCTTACATTTAAGGCCATGCTACCATATCAGAAAGGCCACTGACCCCATCCTTTGCCTTTCTGGCTTTCTCTCCTGCCCTCTTTCTTTCCTCTCGCTCTTTCATGCTCTGGGGCTAAGGACTCGATACCCAATCATCTCTGAACGGCAACAACCAGGCAAAAAGCAAAACGCCAAGTTCCCTCAAATTGCGCAATGACCAGCAATTCCAATTAGGTTTAGACCCAAAGGGAGTGAAAAACTGGTGTTCAAATACAACTGGTACCCAAACGTTCGTAGCAGCACTAATCGTAATAGTCAAAAGGTAGACACAACCCAAATCCCCATCAACAGATGGATGGGTAAACACAAGTGGTGTATCCATACAATGGAATACTACTCGGCCATAGTGAGAACTGAAGTACTGATACCTGCTACAACTTGGAGGGCCCTAGAAAACATTAAGTGAAAGAAGCCAGATGCGAAAGGCCACAGATTATATGATTCCTTGTATATGAAATATCCACAATAGGCAAATCCATATGAACAGAAAACAGATGAGTGGCTGCCGGAAGCTGGGGGTGGGAAGGAATGGGAAATGATTGCTTCATGAGTAGGAGGGTTCCTTCTGGGGTTATAAACATTTCTGTTGGCAATAAGTAACAAAGCTACTGTCTGACACCAGGGTGATGGTGATGTCACTCTGCCTAAGCCAACTCACCTGGAAATTGTGGGGTTTCCATGTTTTCAAATTGTCCTTTTAATTAAACAACAACAACAAAAAGGCAGTTGGGGGAGGGGTGCCGCATAAGATGAAAGATTAAAGGAGGGTGGCTCTGCTTATTTATAGTATATTTACAGCTAGCCTGTATGTAGAGCCTGTCCTGTGTTAATTAAGCAGGAAAAGCAATTACCTCAGTCACAGAGAGACAATGGGGCAGCTCTGCCACTGGCCCACCATACATAGAACAAACTATAAGCTTTTGCTTTTTCCACCTCCTTCCAAGGGCCTGCAGACATGGGTCCGGGCCGGACCCGTTCTATGGGCAAAGAAAGGGCTCTACGTCGATGAAAAGGTTCCATCTGTGCAAAGACTCTTATCAGGAAGCAGCACTCAAAACCTAAGAACTGACAGGTGGGGGCAAGAGGGACCGTGACTCTTCTTATCTCTCTGGGAATTATTTGGTATGGAATTAGCAGAACTTCAGACTTCCTTGCCGCTGACAGCGGGCACAGGGAGAGGGGAGGGACGAATGAATAGGATTTCAGGCTGCCATGGAAACTTTTCTTTGAGCATATGGCAGGTGTCCTGAAAACTCTGGTCCTGCCCCGAGGCTGGCTGCCGGACCTCAGGCATGTGGGTGGGGGCATCTGCCTCTCGGTCTGCAAGACTCCCTCCTACCGCCATGGCAGCAGCAGCACAAAGGACTCTCCAGTGTGTGCCTCACGTCCCAGCTCCCCAGACAGACGTTGGGGGAGAGGCTCCGTGGCCCCATGGAAATCTAAGTCCCCTGCCCCCAGCGGGCCTCGATGCAGCCCACAGATCACAGACAGCAGCAGGCCAAAGGCCATGGCGCGGGCTTCTCCCTGAAATGCGATGCCCACCCTGCCTTCCGCTGATGGGATGTCTTGCAAGACCTACATCTCTTCCCAGGACCTGCGAGAGCTGCATGGCGATTTGGGACTTTGAAGGAGCAGGCAGCCAGGCTGGACTCTCAGCAAGACTGGCTTGTCTGTGTGACATGGGAAATCCGGCTGGCCCAAGGGAGAGAAAATCACAAACTGGGAGGCTATAAACTCAAAGCAGCCGAAGGGATTATAAATAACAGCAGGTGGAAGGTGCAAGGGTGGCAAACAAGACAACATTTGGAAAAATCTAAAGCTTCTGGAACTAGGTGATTGTGCCCGTAGGGGGAAGGGTCACGGCAGTGTGCCAGGAGCAGACAAAGCTATGGGAGAAAACGGGTGCCATCTTCTCGCAGCATCAGCGGGACTCAAGGATGGGGAGACGGTGAACGTATAATAAAATAGGACCATAACACACTGTGGAGGAGACAGTAAAACCTGATTGAATTTGAAGGAGAAAATACTAGACGTTCAGGAAACGTCATGATGGCTGCTGGCCACTCTGGGGCATTCCGTTCCTCTGCGTTAAGGGCTCCTTAGAAAAGGGTGGGAGCCCAGCTCTAAAGGAATCCCCCTCCGTTCATTTCATTTATCCCATAATTATTTTTTTGAGGTCTTACTACGTGCTGGGCTCCCTTCCCTCCCTGCAACTCACTGTTTAGTGGGGGAGGTGTGTGTTAATTACAAGTACATGACACCATGGGACTGTGTATCAGAGAGACCTTACCTGCTGAGCACAGTGGGGGAAGGCTTTCTTGGGGTGACAGCCCAAGTGACCTTTAACCCGGACCAGACAAACAGGGTGAGGAAGCGGGGATCCCCAGGCGGAGGGAACAGTATGTGCAAAGTTCAGTGACCAGAGGGAGCTTGGCTGGAACTCAGGGAGTGATGAAGGAGGGAAAGGCCAGAGGTAAGAGAGACAGGACCTTGACTGCTGGCTTTTATCCTAAGAATGCTGGTAAACTAGGGGGTGATTTTAAGTGGCACAGTGGCATGGCGGAATTGTGTTTTAAGCAGAGTCCCCGAGCAGCAGCACAGTATTCATGTAGTAATCCCTACCAAGGCAGGCAGATGGTGGCAGCTATACTGTGTTTTCAGTGAGGCCTCTTTGGAAGATGCAAGCCCCGAGAGGGGCCTGCTGACTACATAATAGGTCCTGCTTGGGCCCCAATCCAGCAGGCACATTTCTAAACGCCTCTAAGAGCAGTGGTTGCTAGGCGTTCCCCCTCTCCCAGCACGTTCAGAGGTCCCACACCAGGAAGCAGGTGACACGGGGTTAAGTGCCCAGGTTCTGGGCTTAAATCTTGTCTGCTATATATGAGCTGGGTGACCCAAGGCAAGTTTCTTACCCTGTCTGTGCCTCGGTAAAATAGGAGCGCTAAAAGCACCCGTCTCCTAGGGTCACCGAGTGGCTTCATTAAGATCAATATGCTAAAATCCTTATCTGTTAGCCTGGTACGTCAGAGATGCTAATGTTGTTTATTATTAGTAATAATATCAGTTTGGACCCTGCTAAGGATGAACACAAACGACCATGGAAATGTACAATGATTTGGGAGCACCTGGACTCGAGGAGCGGGAGGAGGCAGCTGAGGGAGGGAGGAAGCGATGTCCACCTACTTGCCAGCAGGAGGCAGGAGACGGCCACCGCGTACAGCTGCTTGGAGGTGGTGATGTTATAGCGATCCAAGAAGTGGTCCATCAGGTAGACGGCCAGGTGCCGGGCCGTGGGGCACAGTTGGCAGTGGCTGCTCAGCAGGGTCAAGATGTCAACGAAGAACCGGCGGCTCTTCAGGAGTGGGGAGTGGGCTTGAAAGGCAGGCAGCTTCAGTTCCTGGAAGGGGAAGGGCACAGGGGGGGTCAGGGCTGCCTCCCGAGGACCTCCAATGGCCCAGAAAAGTGAGAGGTGAGAGCCCCTGGTGTCTGGTTAGGGGGTGCCGATCCCTTCCAAATCCTGTTTACTCTCCTTCAAGTCTCAGGATGGCAGTTCCCCTATCCCAGATACTCCTGGGCCATCTCCTACCCACCCTCACTGAGCACAAGCTTGTCAAGTGTCACCTAAATGATGACAGAGGCAGGTGAAGGAGACCACTGGCTTCAGTCCCGGGAAAAAGCTGACTACTGGAGATAACGGAACGTAGGAGACCCACATCCAAATTCTGGTTCTACTACCCACCCAAGCTGTGCTACCCACGTCACCTGCCTTCATCCTTGTTTCCTCCTCAGCAGATGAGGATTAAATGAAAAATGGAAAGCACCTAGCACACAGTACCCTCTCAGGGCCCACAGCTTAACTCCCTTTGTAGATAGGTCGTGAGAGACAAAAAAGAAATCCATTGTAAAAAAGTTGTTAAAATAATAGTACAATAACAGTACAACTAATAGTTCATTAGTACAACAGGACAACTAATGTTGACACTTTCTCTTGTTTTTCAGCAAACACATATACTTTCTTCTAAAAGTTCAACATCATACGTTTCCCCAGGAGACGACTTTTACTTTGTAATTTATACATGGTCATGTTATCTGAATTTATTTATCTAACACAAGAAAAACCGAGAGAACTAGCGAACCAACCAAGATTATTAAGACAGGAAATTTTTTCTTATATATCTATCGTATTTACAATTTAACCAAAGCAGACCAGAAACTGTTATTTAGGAACTGTCTTGCAACATTTTGTCAAATAAAGAAACCAAAGAGAAGCAAAGCTAAGGAAAAAGAGCAAAGGAGAAGCTGGCAGAAAAGCAACTGTGAGAGGTCAGTAACAGCGGGTTCACTGGGGGATGAGATTAAAACAAACTGGTGCCCTTCCCCTGTCTAATGCCACTCTCTTAACCTTAGGACTTGACTTATGTAGCAAGAGCTCTGGGACTAGGAGGTATCTGTTCGTTCGTCCATCCATCCATCCATCCATCCATCCATCCATCCATCCATCCATCCATCCAAGATACTCAATAAGTATCAAGTACCTTCTACCTATCAGGCGTTATTCTAGGCACTGGGGATACAATCTGGTATAAGATAGACACAGACCTAAATGTAAGATTAAAACTACAAAACTCTTAGAAGGAAACAGGGCAAATCTTTATGACTTGATTAGGCAACAGTTTATTCTCTATACTACCAAAAGCAGAAGCAACAAAAGAAAAAGTAGCTAATTGGACTTCAAAATTAAACTCTTTCACGCTTCAAAGACACCATCGAGAAAGTAAAAGGAAACCCAGAGAATGGGAGAAAATGTTTGGAAATCATATACCAGAGACTGTACTCTGAATATATAAAGAACTTTTACAATTCAACAATAAAAAGGTAAACAATCTATTGTAATTTAAAAGTGGGCAAAAGGATAGTTCTCCAAAGAAAATACAGAAACAGCCAATAAGCACATGAAAAGATGCTCAACATTGCTAATCACTAGGGAAATTCAAGTCAAAACCACAATGACATATCACCTCACACCCACCAGGATGGCAATTATAAAAACAAAACCAGAAAATAAACAAGTGTTGGTGAGGGTGTAGACAAATTAGAACCTGCATACACTGCTGGTGGGAAAGTAAAACGGTGCAGCTTCTATGGAAAAGACTTGGTTAGTTCTTCAAAATGTGAGGTGTAGAGTTACCACATGACCCAGCAATTCCAATCCTTGGGATATACCCAAGGGAAATGAAAATACATGGCCACACAAAAGCGTGGATACGAATGTTCATAACAGCATTTTCATAATAGTATCAAAAGGAAAACAACCCAAATGCCCATCAAATAACGAGTGGGTAAATAAAATGCAGTACATATCCACACGATAGATTAGGCCATAAGAAGGAATGACGTAATGATACATGTTATAACATGGATGAACCTTAGTGAAAAAAAATTGGTGTTTAGTGATGATGCTGTGTGAGAAAAAGCCAGTCATAAAAGGCCATGTATTGTATGATTCCATTTATATGAAACGTCCAGTATAGGCAATTCCATACAAACAGAAAGTAGATTAGTGGTTGCCAGGGACTAGGGGTAGAGGTTAATGGGGGGTGACTGCTAACGGAGGTGAGGTTTCCTTTTGGGATCATGAAAATATTCTGAAATTAGATAGTGTTGATGTTGCACTACTCTGTGAATACACTAGAAGCCACTGAACTGTATACTTTAAAAGGGTGAATTTTATGGTATATGAATTCTATGTCAATAAAGCTGCTATTAAAATACAAGATGGGGGAAAAAAGAAGAGAAAAACAACAACAGCAACAAAAAATAAAATGGACACGTTCCCCACTCTCATGGAGTTTACGGCCAGTAGGAGAGAGAGAGATGGTGATCAAATACAAATATGACAAATACAGAATTCCACACTGATGAACCCCAGGAAGGAAAGCTGCCAGCGGTGAGAACCCAGCTTCTCTGAAGGCAGGGCAGTCGGCCTGTGCAAGTGGAGCTGGAGCTGAGATTTCACGTGGGGATCCCGTCTCTTCTGGCTTGCTCCCCGGCAGAGCCTGAGGCCAGGACACAGCTCCCAGCTCCTGCGGGAGCCCCAGAACGTTGCTCCTGGAAGGTGCTCAAAGCCTGAATAAATCAGTTCCTCTCCCTGATGTTTACATATGAAGAAACGGAATTTGAAAAAGTCCTGTAACTCCAAGGCTCTCCTTAACAAGCAACAGATCTGAGACTAAAAGACTTTTAGTGTATCCTTCCCACCCCACCCCCCCAACCTTTTATTTTTTTTTCATCATGGAGACGAGCTTTTATCCCCCGTTTAACTTCTGGAAGAAAAAGACCTGACTGCCTGATGTAGTCTTCATCTTCATTATTTGATGGATGTATGCGGCCACCATGGGACTTCGAACTTCGTGAGGCTGGGGTCTCACCTTGTTTTCCCACCCCCCCTAGGTTGACTAGAACATGGTCTGGTGCCCAATAACGAATCAATGAAGAAATGAAGGGAGGAAGATGGAGAAGAAGGGAGGAAAGAAGGACTGATGTGAAGTGGTGACACAGAGTGCCCTGGGCCCACAGAGCAAGGTGTGACCATCTGTAGAGAGCAGCAGGTCAGTGGGGACTTCAAAGAAAAAAGAGTTGTCTAGACAAGTTTTGGAAGGACGTCTAGGAATAGACCTGTTGAAGATGCAGGAAGAATGCTCAGCAGGAAAAACAGCACCTGCAAAGCCACAGAAGTGTCTGTGTCCCACCTGGGGAATCTAGTCTAGAGTGCTTGAAAGAGCCAGACAAGTGGGGTATGTCTGGACAAAGCAAGCTGGGGGGATGGGGGGTGGGCAGGGTCCCAACTCGTATGCTCTGCTAAGGTATCTGGCCTGTCTTGAGGGCAATGGGGAGCCACTGAAAGGTTTAGACAGGGCATCGATGCGGGCCTAGTGGCCATGCATGAAGATCTCTTGGCCAGCCTGCTCCCAGGCTATGGCCAGACAGCTGGTACGAGCAGCCAATGTGGGGCTGCCGCTTCCTCTAACAGCAGCTCCCCTCCCCATCCCCCAGGAGTCCCTGCAAGCTTGAAGGCTACTTGTGTATTTCCTCTAAGCCCTAGGGCTCTAGGGCTCTTGACAAGAAAAAAAACACAATCACAGATCCTTGGTGTTCCGTAGGCAGCAGCTACCGGAAATGAGCCATGTGAACTTTGGCCAGGGCTGCACTGCCCTCATCAAGGCAGTTCAAAGCCCCAAAACACAAGTCAGATATGCAACCTCTGATTTTCCTCCCTGCTCAAATGCAGTCAAGCTTACCTCCTCCTGGATTTCCCTTTGTGCCAAGTGGGGGAAGACAGCTCAAAGCAACACACTATTGGTCTTCCCTCTGAACACTCCCCGTAAAAAGGGTCTACGGGCTTGAGAAGATTCTCACAGGAAGCTATCGGGGCATAAAAGAAAAAGTTAAGGACCTTTGGAACGGGTAACAACAACTCATGTCAAATAGGAGTTAGCTAGTAGGGCTTCCAGGAAAAAGCCAGTCTTCAGGGTAGGCAGGATTTTGAAAGCTACAACAGTGGCTCGCAATGTTCTTCATCTCCATTTCTGCTGTCCCTCAGCTATCGGTTTAAATGTCCTTCCTAAGAGAGGCTTTCTCAACCCCTTCTCATTCCAAATCAGGTCCCCCTCGCTGGCTCTCTCAGCATGCTGTTCTTCATGGCCAAATATTTACTTCTTTGTGTGTCTCTCCCCGTTGAACTCCAGCTCCGTGGAGCAGGGGCCATGTCCATTTTGTCTATACCGTTTGCCCAGTGCTCAGAATGTTCCTGGCACAGAGGCACGTGCTCAAAAAATATACACGTCAGTAAAAAAGAACGGAGAGCCATCAAACGACACGGAGGAAACGTAAATGCATATTACTCAGTAAAAGAAGTCAATCTGAAAAGGCTACATACTGTATGATTCCAGCTATAGGACATTCTGGAAAAGGCAAAGCTACAGGACAGTAAAAAAATCAGCATTTGGGGGTGGGGTGGGGGGAAGGATGAATAGGCATAGAGAGCACAGAAGTAAAACTTCTCTGAATGATACTATAATGGTGTATACTTGTCATTATACATTTGTCCAAACCCACAGAATGTACACCAAGAGTGAACCTTAATGTAAACTATGGATTTTGGGTGACAATGATGTGTCCATGCAGGTTCATCGATTGTAACAAAGGTATCACTCAAGTGGGGGTGTTGATAATGGGGGAGGCTGTGCAGATGTGGGGAACAGGGCGTACAGGGGAAATCTCTGTACCTACTACTGCTCAATACGGTTGCGAACCTAAAACTGCTTTAAAAACTAAGTCTACTAAAAAAATAAAAAGGGCCGGCCGAGTGGCACGATGGTTAAGAATTCGCTTGGGATG